AACCCTGCATGTCCATTTCTCAGATGCTGGGGAGGATCACTTTCTCAGCCACATTCGCTTATTTAATGCTATCTTCATCAGCAGCTAATTTAAAAATCTATTTCACATTGACATTAAACTGCATAATTCTACAAGATTAATTGATAATAAGACTAATTTTACATCTGTTCAGTTACTTGAGATTCTCCAGTATCCTGGTGTGAGAAAACACGCCCAGATAAGATAAGAGAGGTGATAGCAACATGCCCTGACTGCCAGTATCTCTTTTCTTTCTAAATGCATCCAGGGCCAGGTCCTTCTGCTCTGATGGCTTTCCAATCCCCTCTTGAAAATACTAGTGGTCTTTGGGTGAATTATTTAATCACTCTAAGTTTTATTACTCATCCTTTACAATTACAGAAGATAATATCACATCATGGGGTCGTTTGAGAGATTAAATAAAATAATATCAATAAGAGCACCTAGCACGATGCTTTGGTGTATGAATTCTAATTAAAAACAAATGTTGGAATTTTGTTTTAATATTGTCCTTTGGAACCCTTCTGTGGAATGGCCCTAGATAAAGCTTCTTTATAACAACAGCTTTTGGAATGTAAACAAGAAACTAAGAAATCTTTTAATGGAGCCAAGAAAGACTCACCCTATTCATAATTTTACTGATAGCACCATAACAAGACTTCCAGTTTAAAACAGTACCTGGCTGGCATTAAATACCACCAACAAAAATGAAAATGAGGGGAAAAATATCACAACACTAAAAATTAAGATGATGTATTTTCAGATTCTAGGAAGGAATTCTACTGATTATGAATCAGCTAGAGATTAACAAGGTTTCTCATAGGTTTGTATTATGAAATAGAGGCTGTGGGAAGGGCACAGCTGAGAGAGTAGGGCTTTTTTGAGGCAGCCAAAATATAGTTTCCCACATCTATCTACATCTTACAGAGAGTGACTCCAAGGGTGGGAAGAGAGGGATTGGATAGCAACATACCGCACCCTGTAGTTCAGGCTCGAAGAACAGAGCCCTGCAGGTGGATGCAAAGACATGAAGTGCCCCAGTGGAGGTGCTCATAGGAATCTGGTTCTTCAGGGCAGAGTGTCAGAGAAGAAGAAAGAGGGGCAGAGAGGATACCCACGTTGGTGCAACAGAGATGCACAGGAGGAAGGCCACTAGGGGCACAGAAACACATTTTAAAAGACCATTGATGAAAAACCATCTTTAAATGCCCATTTAATTTTATTCAGGAAGAGCAAAATACATTAAAATATTGAAAAACCCCCAAAACATTGTGTTATCAAAGGAGGCAAAGCCGTTGAAATGGAATCGTTTGGTTAGCAGGCTCGCACAACGGTGTAGGTGTTCGATTTACTAAAACCGAAGTCCAGAGAATGGAAGGTGGTTTAAGGATATAAATGCAGAGAGTAAAACAATATGAACTGTTAAAAACAGTATGGAAGATGATGACTTTTGGTTCGTTTCTTAGGAATACAACTTGAAGGCATGCATCAATCAATAAAATGATAAAGAAAATGAGAAAATCATGTAATAATAATCTTTTAGTGAGAACTGTTAGACAAACAAGGAATTGTTTAAATAATCACAAGAAATGTGGTTTCAAAACTGAAAAGCAATGTCAAAAATGAACCTTTGAGGGATGATATACATGTGCAAACTGTATTGTTAATATTTGGGGCTTTAATCCCAAGTCAAAGGAATTTGTGATAGGAACTGCCGAGGTCCACATTATAAATAAGGGCAACTCGACACAACATCAGCCTTCCAGAATGGCTTTGGGGTGCTCTCCAGAAATGTTCTCCATCCCGAAAAGGGTGTAAAAGGGAGAGGAAGGGCGAGTCCACCCCAGCCCTACCCCCAACCAAGCATATTTTGAATCCTGACCAAAACCCCAGAGAAAAGAAATGCAAGCTCAGAGTCCAAAAGTCATTATAAATTCCTAGGAGAAGATGAAAGTCTGAATGAGCAAAGCTGTTTAATTAACCCTATTTTTTTAAAATAAGCTCTGATGAAGTTTATTGACATTCTGGGAATAGCAGTTTAAAATACCTCTAATTACAGAGCATGGAAACATTAATAATATTGATGAGAATGTTGCTGGCACAGGCTTTGGGGATAATTTCCTCCCCAAGACTCAGAGGGACAGGGCACTCGCTGAGGCCTGTCCAGGCTCTGGTGAAGGAACTAAAATATAAGAGCTGATGTCCAAAGGGCATGGTCCTCAGGCAGGTTGGGTGGAAACGTTCCACATGGCTGGAATGTAGACGATGACTTCAGGGTGCAGAGAAGGCTGTGAGGTCCATGGAACACTGGATTTGTGGGCTGGAGGAACTAAGACCAGCAACATGGTGGGTGTGATAGAAGACACGGCCATGGATGTGCACTGAGCACCAGTTACGAAGCTGCTGAAATTGTCTAAGTGAGAAATGCCTTGATGAAAGGGAACCAGTAAGGATAGCAAAGAACGAATTTGAAAGAGATGTAGAAAGTAGAATTTACAGGATCTGGGATGTGGTAGAAAATGAAAGAGAAAAATTTTTTTACATGATTCAAAATTTCAGGCTTAGACGGCACATTATTCAGAACACAATAAAAAAGAATCAACCACCAACACCCACGATACCATGGATGACTCTCAACTGTGTTATGTCTCAACTGTGTTAGCTCAAAGAAGATGCCAGACTCAGAAGTCTACCTGGTACATGATTCCATTTATGTGACATTCTGGAAAAGGCAAAACTATTGGCACAGAAAACGGATCAGTGGTTTCAGGGAGCCAGGCTTGGTTACAGTGAGACTACCAAGGGAATAAAGGAAGTTTTAGAGGTGGTGGGACTGTTCTCTACTGATTTTAGAATTGGTTACACTGGTGGAAGCTGGTATCAAAATTCATAGAGCAATGTGCTGAAAAGGTTAATTTTACTGTATGTAAATCATAGCTCAATAAATCTGACCTAAAAATAAATGTCTGTCTTGGGCAACTGGGTAGGAAACGATGCCACGAGGGAGGGACAGCTTTTAGCTGCGGATGGGCAGGCAGAGAGGATTTCTGTTTGGATGTGTTGAATTTGAGCACCCAAGAGATGGAGTCCAGTAAGCAGATGGACACATGGGTGTGGAAGAGCTTGTGAGAGAGGTGTGGAACCAAAACGGCACTGGCAGCCATCAGCTCACTGGAAGCAGATAACACTGCAGCAGGGGCAGGGTTGGCCCTGGAAGAGCAGCAAGCAGTGCTTGTGTGGGTCAGATGTGATTTTAGGTGTCTTCCCTCCAATTCCTTCCCTGAAATACCTCCATCCAAAGCTTGGACATCCTAAAGTTATTTAATTTGTCTGTTAGCATCTTTAAAAAGAAATGATCCTGGGAGTCCTAACAGTGGGAAAAAAAGGGAGGCTGATGTAATGATTACCTAATGTAAATGATTTAGGTCAGGTTAGGTAATGATTACCTAATGTAAATGATTCATCTTATAAGGTAGAATTTAGAGTAGTGCTCTTAAATGCTTCAAAACGTAGAGCATATTTCTCAAATTAATACATTTATCGTGATGTATTACTTTTCCCAAACAGGCCCCTTTCTCCCCCTACAATACTTATTAACCTCCTACAGAGAGTTCTGCCAAAGAGCAACTTGGAAAATTTTGCCTCAACTCAAAGGACTGAGACTTGGCAGGCATTCCCAGGGCAGAATCATCTACTGGGAAGGAAGGTTGAAGATGTACCCAGGACCTGAAGGTCCTTCCTGTTGCCTCAAACTGCACCTCTAACAGAAACTCATAGAGTGGAACGGGGAACCAGCCCTGTACCCCAGCTCATCCCAGCTCAGGCATAAACATGGGGGCAGGTCACTTAGCCCCCACTGCTGATTCTGGAATTCTAGCGCCAACCTCAAAGGCGCTATTGTGAGAATTAAATAAAGTAACAAAAGAGATAGTGGCTGTTTCTTTTTCTCCTTTCTTAGAGATTTTCTCCTGGGAGACCAACAGCGACATTGGACTGAGTCAGCAGATGCTGGTGGGAGGAAGTGGTGCCAGTGCCACTCAGCAATTTGTAAAAGTGATGTGGCCACACATACTTAATCATACTTGTATAAACTAACAATTGATACGCTCTGGTTATTTTTAACTTTGCACTTTGAAAATAGTTACGGGCTCACAGGAAGTTGCAGAGTAGTACAGAGAAGGTCCTGTGTGCCCTCTACCACCCAGCTTCCTCCCGTGGTAACTGCGTAAATATGGTCCATGGGTAGAACACTGCTAACTAGACTACAGACCTCACTCAGGTTTTCCATGCACTCATTTGTGTGTGTGTGTGTGTGTGTGTGTGTGTGTGTGTGTGTGTGTGTGTGTGTGTGTGGTTCTACACAACTAGATTTGTGTAGCCACCACTATAATCAAGATACAGAATTAGCTCAGCACAGGAAAGGAACTCTCTCCTGATTGTAGGTTTTCAGATCACCCCCAAAGCAACACGGCTCTTGATTCAACTGCCACGTTGTATTAAGAATAGCAAAAGCCAGGTGCTTATCTCGCTCACCCCCTTTTCTCTCCCCTTGGAAGCTATTTAGTGAGGAACAGCAAGAGATGAGATGGGATGGGGTGGGTCTGGGTGGGGTGAGGGAGGTTTGATTTATCAAATATTCATTTCACAGAATCAGCCTCTTCTTAGATGAGAGAATTAAAATTTTCCCCCATTTTACATTGTTAATATTAGCTCAAAGAAGCATAATCGGGGAAATAAAGCTATAATGTCTGTGAAGAACAAAAATCTCGGTGTGCAAACAGAATCGAATAAACATTATGTGGAAGTTATGCAAGGTTCAGGGTGACTTTGAGAATGGCCTCTTCAATGATGGAGGGAAATGAAGATACCAGGAAAGTTGTAGCGTGTCACAGACTAAGATTCTGTGACTGTTAAATTTTATTATGTTCAGCGCAGGGAAAATTAAAATTTATAAAGAAGAGAAAAAGCCAAAGGACAAACAGAAGAGAAATGAAATTCTGCTGCTGTGGAAGTGCAAGGGAGGACGTGGAGGTCGGGTGTTTGAGGCCCTAGCTCCGGGCGCTGTTTCTTATAAAGATATGCTCAGGGAAACAGAAGAACTCTTCATCACCAGGGGCCTGACTGGGGTTTATGCCTTTGAAAAATCATAAAAATTAGTAAAAGGAAGGGGAAAATATAGAGAAAAAGAAGTTATCTTTTAATTATCCAGGAGTTAATGCTGTTGGTTGGACTTGTAAATGATCTAGACCTTGCCTTTTCTCCTGGTTCTTCCTGCATTTTGGCAAAGTTGTTGATCAAAGTTGTTGTTCACTTAATCCTTATGGTGAACAACCATGCACAAAGCACATTATCCAAATACTAGCTTCTTTGATTAAGGTTCTAGAGATCTGGGAAGAGTGTCTAAATTTTTCATAGAGCCATCCAGTGTAAATAAATGTGCTATTCCCCAGAACCTGCATGCCAGTTGAAGATCTGCAGAGTAGCTATTAAGTTCTGCTTTAGGGACTTCTAACCATCCACCTGGAAGAAGATATCCAGAAAAATATAGAGGGAGTTAGAACTGTGTCAAGAGTGAAAGGGGAAATAAAGACAGTTCCTAATTACTGAAAAATCCCTCCTTTCCAACAATGCACCATCTTCCCTGAAACCCAAAGGAAAAGATTTTATTTAAGAAAAAAAGACAGTGGTACATACACAAAAATGATCATACCCAAAGGAACAGGTATTAAAATGGCTAAACGTTTTAACTCATATGATTGAGAACACAACTGAAATAATCCGTAAGAAAGTGTCGAGCACCTAATGTGTGACACATATAGGTATATGTTGAGTGAGACACACTGACCCTCAACGAGTTTGTAATCTTGTGGGCTGTAGAAAAGACTAACACACAAGAAACATTGTGGTCTTCTCCGTTAGGAGTTAAATTGTTTGTTCCAAATCATTAAGTGCTGTATTGTAGCTCAGGAAAAGGAGTCATCTGTGAGGGCTTTAGAAATAATAAAGGGCTCAGCTTTGACAGACGAACACAGCTAGAGCTGGTCACAAAAGAAAGAGAGGGCAATTGAAAGGAGGACAATACAACTGAATAGGACATCAGGTAGGGGACGGAACTCATGTACTAATAGACGAGAAGTCTTCACCTAGTAAGGAGAAGGCTGATGCTTTATTCCATGGTCATACAAAAATTAAACGTCCAAATGGGAGTCATTCTCCAGAGCCACCTTCTTGGAAACTGAGGTTGGTGGTAGGTGGGGAGGGGAGGTGGAAAAAGAAGACCTTTTTTTTTGGCTCATTTTTGGCCCATCCAAGAAAAACAATTCAGCATGTCAAGTTTTTCTTGCAAAGATAATTATCTAATTTGTACATCCATCTTCAAAGGAGGAATACAATAGTTTTGAGCAAAGGCAACCTTGTAGGAATAAAAACAATCACTCCGATGAAGATCTCTTTGCCAGGTGCTTATGATAACAGCACCTACTTCGTGGGGTTATTGAGAGAGCTAAATGAAGCCTTTTCTCTGGGCTTGGTTCCGGCTCTGAAAAATGGCGAAGTATGCCAGGAAACTTATCTGAGGCCACGTGACAGGAAAGTCTTATGGATGGAAGTCAAAGGATAAGCTCGTATGTTTCCAGAGAGATAGCAGATGCTACATTTCTAATTGTTTCAGTTAGGAGTCAACTCTATCTAGTCTACACAACTCTCTAGGAGGGTAAGTAACCTGAGAAGGGAACTGCGCTGTAGTGGCCAGTGTCTCTCTGGAGTGGCCTCTGGCCTTCCACGGTCCTCCCGCCCCCGCCACAAGGATGGTGGCCCCCTGTGAAGAACTTTTAAGATTCAAGGACTATCTGAAAGTGTGCTAGTTCCTAGAGTTGGGGTGGGTATAGATTTTTTCCCAACCCCAGCCCAAGCCTGGCTGACCAGTCGCTCTACTCCATTGAGGCTGCTCACAACACAACGAGTGCCAGGCCTCCATGGCAGACTAACTGGGGTTCCACTGGATCCTTTGGAGCACAGGGGTGTGGACTTACAAAACTCAATCCTCTCAACCTCATCAGTCAATAGGGAAATTAAAAATTAAAACCACAATTCATACCCTACAACTCATTGAGATGGTTAGAATAAAAAGATAGAAAATCCAAGTGTTAGTGAGGATGTGGAGGAAACAGAACTCTCACATACTGCCTATGGGAGTATAAATGTAATTGCTACAATCACCCTAGAAAACTATCAGCAGTCTGTTAAAACTGAACAAGCCCAGACCAAATGACCAAGTAATTCCCCTCCTAGGCATATACCCAACAGAAATGCATATATGTTCACCAAAAATATGTATAAGAATGCTCATAGCAGCACTATTCATAATAATCCCAAACTCAAAATGTCCATTAACAGAAAAATGAGTAAGTACACTGTGGTGTTTACACAAAAAGAATATTATAAAGCAAAAAGATAAACAATCTACAACAACAGGGCTGAGTCTCATAAATATAACATTGAGTAAAAGAAGCCAGACATAAAAAGCACATATTCTATGATTTCTCGTTATAAAGTTTGAACACAGACAAAACTAACCTATTACATTAGAAATCAGGAGAGTAGTTACTTTTAGAGGTGGGGAGTAGAGACTGGAAGGAAATATGAGGGGACTCTCGAGGCACCAGTAATATTATCTCTCAATCTGGGTGCTGGTTATATGGGTGGGTTCAGTTTATAAAAATTCATTGACTTGTGCATTTATGGTGTCTGCACCACTTTTTGTACATAGCTTATACTTTAAGGGGTGTAAAAACACGTTCGAGGAATGGGTAAAGACAATTCTGCTTATAGTTTGGCAGGAGCAAGGGGTGAGTTGGAGGATGAGGAGGGAGCGGTGAAGCATAGACATAAATAAGGGGAGGTACTGCACTGGGGACTGTTAGTGTACGATCTGAGAGAGGGCAGCTTGGGCAAAGTTGAGGTCCTCCCTACTGCAAAGTATGGCCTCCCACGTTAGCTGCTTTGAAAGGGGTGTTGTGTGTAAAGACATATACTGCCCACCCCCATCTCACCCAGCGATGATTTGGCAGTGGTCACTCTTGTCACTGTCATGTGCACTCTTCTCTGCCTTCCACCAACAGAGGAGGGATGAGATGTATTTTTCAGAAATTGCACATGCAGAGGAATGTAAGAAAATCAGCCTGACAGGCTGGCAGATTACCTGTCTCAGAGCTGCAAGGATAAGGCTGGACAAGAAGGTAAGGGCCTGGTTTGAGAGGGATTGCAAAGCCAAGAAGAGATCTCTAGACTTAATCAAGAGGGAAACTGGGTGCTCTCCACTAATCTGACCTAGGAATGTTAAGATAGAAGTGGTAGAACCAGACAAATCTGCTACTATCAGCTGAATAACCTCTCCAAGAATGGCCTGCTTGCTAGGAGGTTATTAAAAAGCCACCATACATATATTAGAATTTCTAGGTTTTAAACAAGTTTCAAAATGCCCCAGTTCATGACTTCAAACCATAGTACGACAAATTCTAAAGCTGATGATGAAATTCAAAAATACTTTATTATTTAAAGGGAAAAAAAAAGAGCTTTTTATAAACCAGGCTATAAAATAAGCTTTTGAAATAAGCTTTTGGAAGTCTTGGCGGAATTAGAAAAGGAGGCCAGATTCCCTACAGCTCAGGTCAACAGAAATCTGTGACAAGGTTTCAAGTCACAGAAGTGAGCTTTATACATACATGCTAACATGAAGAGCTTTAGGTGGAAACTCTAGAAATATTTTCATTTCACTTTTATATTTATTAAATGTATGTTCACATGAAACGTATATACACGTACCGAGAGCCAAACACAGCATCAAATGTCTTTATTGAGGATGACACCTTAATGACCATTCAGATGTACAAGGGAAGAGTTTTTAAGGAGAAAGCACTTGGATGATAGAG